TGTTGTTGTCTCAGAGTGCTAACATGGAGGTGTTGTTGTTGTATCAGAGTGCTAACATGGAGGTGTTTTGTTGTTTTTCTCAGAGTGCTAACATGGAGTGTTGTTGTTGTCTCAGAGCGCTAACATGGAGGTGTTGTTGTGTGTCAGAGTGCTAACATTAGAGGTGTGTGTTGTTGTTTATTTTAGAGTGCTAACATGGAGGTGTTGTTGTTGTCTCAGAGCTCTAACATGGAGGTGTGTTTTGTTGTCTCAGAGTGCTAACACGGAGGTGTTGTGTGTTGTCTCAGAGCGCTAACATGGAGGTGTTGTTTGTTGTCTCAGAGCGCTAACATGGAGGTGGTGTTGTTGTCTCAGAGCGCTAACATGGAGGTGTTGTTGTTGTCTCAGAGTGCTAACACGGAGGTGTTGTTGTTGTTGTCTCAGAGCGCTAACATGGAGGTGTTGTTGTTGTTGTTGTCTCAGAGCGCTAACATGGAGGTGTTGTTGTCTCAGAGTGCTAACATGGAGGTTTGTTGTTGTCTCAGAGTGCTAACACAGAGGTGGTTTGTTGTTGTTCAGAGTGCTAACATTGAGGTGTCTGTTGTTGTTGTTGTCTCAGAGTGCTAACATGGAGGTGTTGTTGTTGTCTCAAGTGCTAACATGGAGGGTGTTGTTGTTGTCTCAGAGTGCTAACATGGAGGTGTTGTTGTCTCAGAGTGCTAACATGGAGGTGTTGTTGTTGTTCAGAGTGCTAACATAGGGTGGTGTTGTTGTTGTCTCAGAGTGCTAACATGGAGGTGTTGTTGTTGTCTCAGAGTGCTAACATGGAGGTGTTTGTTGTTGTCTCAGAGTGCTAAGGAGGTGTTGTTGTTGTCTCAGAGTGCTAACATGAGGTGTGTTGTTGTTGTTCAGAGTGCTAACATGGAGGTGTGTGTTGTTGTTGTTGTCTCAGAGTGCTAACATGGAGGTGTTGTTGTTGTCTCAGAGTGCTAACACATGGAGGGTTGTTTGTTGTCTCAGAGTGCTAACACGGAGGGTGTTTTGTTTCAGAGTGCTAACATGGAGGTGTGTGTTGTTGTTGTCTCAGAGTGCTAACATGGAGGTGTTGTTGTTGTCGTCAGAGTGTAACATGGAGGTGTTGTTGTTTTGTCTCAGAGCTAACATGGTGTGTTGTTGTTTCTCAGAGTGCTAACATGGAGGTGTTGTTGTTGTCTCAGAGTGCTAACATGGAGGTGTTGTTGTTGTCTCAGAGTGCTAACATGGAGGTGGTGGTTGTTGTGTGTCTCAGAGTGCTAACATGGAGGTGTGTGTTGTTGTTGTCTCAGAGTGCTAACATGGAGGTGTTGTTGTTGTCTCAGAGCGCTAACATGGAGGTGTTGTGTGTTGTCTCAGAGTGCTAACACATGGAGTGTTTGTTGTTTCTCAGAGTGCTAACATGGAGTGTTGTTGTTGTCTCAGAGTCCTAACACGGAGGTGTGTTGTTGTCTCAGAGCGCTAACATGGAGGTGTTGTTGTTGTCTCAGAGTGCTAACAATGGAGGTGTTGTTTGTTGTCTCAGAGTGCTACATGGAGTGTTGTTGTTGTCTCAGAGTTCCTAACACGGAGGTGGTGTTGTTGTCTGAGCTAACATGGAGGTGTTTGTTGTTGTCTCAGAGTGCTAACATGGAGGTGTTGTTTGTTGTCTCAGAGTGCTAACATGGAGGTGTTTGTTGTTGTCTCAGATCCTAACACGGAGGTGTTGTTGTTGTCTCAGTGCTAACATGGAGGTTTGTTGTTGTCTCAGAGTGCTAACATGGAGGTGTTGTTGTTGTCTCAGAGTGCTAACATTGGAGGTGTTGTTGTTGTCTCAGAGCGCTAACACGGAGGTGTTGTTGTTGTTCCTCAGAGTCTAACACGGAGGTGTTGTTGTTGTCTCAGAGTGCTAACATGGAGGTGTGTGTTGTTGTCTCAGAGTCTAACATGGAGGTGGTGTTGTTGTTCTCAGAGCGCTAACATGGAGGTGGTTTTTGTTTGTCTCAGAGTGCTAACATGGAGGTGTTGTGTGTTGTCTCAGAGTGCTAACATTGGAGGTGTTGTTGTTGTTTCAGAGTGCTAACATGGAGGTGTTGTTGTTGTCTCAGAGCGCTAACATGGAGGTGTTGTTGTTGTCTCAGAGCGCTAACATGGAGGTGTTGTTGTTGTCTCAGAGTGCTAACATGGAGGTGTTTTGTTGTTGTCTGCGAGTGCTAACATGGAGGTGTTTGTTGTTTCTCAGAGCGCTAACATGGAGGTGTTTGTTTTGTCTCAGAGTGCTAACATGGAGGTGTTGTTGTTGTCTCAGAGTGCTAACAGGAGTTGTTGTTGTTGTCTCAGAGTCAACAGGAGGTGGTGTTGTTGTCTCAGAGCGCTAACATGGAGGTGTTGTTGTTGTCAATCAGAGTGCTAACATGGAGGTGTTGTTGTTGTCTCAGAGTGCTAACATGGAGGTGTTGTTGTTGTCTCGAGTCCTAACACGGAGGTGGTGTCCCGGATGTACCTGGCTCTGGTTCTCTTCTCCCTCCTGAAGGATCTGAACCTCTGGATCGTGTCGGATCGTTTCCAGATGAGTCGAGGATTCATCCAGAGTTTACTGAGCTCCTCCTCTGCCTTCTGCTCCTGCGTGCTGCACTTCACTGAGGTCTCTATATACCTACTGGATATCTAATATATACCTACTGGATATCTAATATATATCTAATATATACCTAATATATATATGTATCTATATATCTACTATATATCTAATATATCTACTGTATATCTGCTGTATATCTAATATATATCTGCTGTATATCTAATATATATCTACTGTATATCTAATATAGATCTACTGTATATCTAATATATATCTACTGTATATCTAATATATATCTACTGTATATCTACTGTATATCTAATATATACCTACTGTATATCTAATATATATCTACTGTATATCTAATATATATCTGCTGTATATCTAATATATATCTACTGTATATCTGCTGTATATCTAATATATATCTAATATATACCTAATATATATCTACTGTATATCTAATATATACCTACTGTATATCTAATATATATATCTACTGTATATCTAATATATATCTACTGTATATCTGCTGTATATCTAATATATATCTACTGTATATCTAATATATACCTACTGTATATCTAATATATATCTACTGTATATCTACTGTAGATCTAATATATAATCTAAACTGTATATCTAATATATATCTACTGTATATCTACTGTATATCTAATATATATCTACTGTATATCTACTGTATATCTAATATATCTACTACCTGTATATCTACTGTATATCTTACTGTATATCTAATATATACCTACTGTATATCTAATATCTATACTACTGATATCTAATATATATCTACTGTATATCTGCTGTATATCTAATATATATCTACTGGATATCTAATATAGATCTACTGTATATCTAATATATACCTACTGTAATATCTAATATATATATCTACTGTATATCTAATATATATCTCTGTATATCTGCTGGTATATCTAATATATATCTACTGTATATCTAATATATATCTACTGTATATCTAATATATACCTACTGTATATCTAATATATATCTACTGTATATCTACTGTATATCTAATATATATCTACTGTATATCTAATATATATCTACTGTATATCTAATATAGATCTACTGTATATCTAATATATACCTACTGTATATCTAATATATATCTACTGTATATCTTATCTACTGTATATAATATATACTACTGTATATCTATATCTGTATATCTACTATATAATCTACTGTATATAAATATATCTACTGTATATCTAATATAGATCTACTGTATATCGAATATATATCTACTGTACCTGCACTTCCCTGAGGTCAGATACAAACCGTCATATCTCATATAACCTGACTTTTTACCAAGATTCGAAAATTCAATTTTTTTCTCAAATGTTGACTTTTCACGAAGAATTTGAAAATGTTACTTTTTTCTCAGAATGTCAACGTTTCTCAGGATTTAAGTTTTTTCTCAGAATTTGACTTTGTTCCGTTTGCGTGTTGTGTTCAGGAGCTGGAGGAGTTCTGGCCGTTCAGAGCTCTGCTGACGGAGCTGACCCGCAGGCTGAGTTACTGCGTGACCTCTGAACTCATCCCTCTGATGGAGGTGGCCGGGGTCATGGAGGTCAGAGCAACACTCACTACATCCTGTTTTGAATGATCAACGTAACACAAAGATGCAGTTTGTCCCTCACGCTGTCACTATGCCTCTGTTACCAAACATCCCTTCTGTTGTTGGATAGAGTTCCTGAACATTGGAGAAGAGAACAATGAGAAGGGGAGGGCTTCAATGTGTTCCCTGTGACTGCAACTCTATTTCACTGCAACTGGTGAAATGTTCTCAACCCTAAATCAAGAAATGAAAAAGCTAACTACAAATTGATAAATGACCAAAACAGTTGAAGATTGATTTTCTGTCGCTGCAGCTCGACTGCTGAGTTGCACACGTACACTAAAGACCCAACAATTAGAGTTTTAGCATTATATTTGAGGTTGAGAATCTTTTTAAAGTCATTACAGAAGGTTACAAACTAATTCTAGGTAACAGAAAAGATAAAGTCTGAATAGATCTGTTATTATGTGCGAAAACACACAATATGCTGTTATAATAGGAGGCGTGTGGCGCAGTGGGAGGTGCGTTGGTGTCGGGATCAGGGGAGCACAGGTTCAAACCCCACTGCAGTCAGCATGTCGTTGTGTCCCTGAGACACTTCACCCCAAAGTGCTCCCGTGGGGATCGCCCTCAGTACTGAGTCGCTCTGGATAAAAGCGTCTAAGAAGTGACATGTGATGTGATGTAATTATAATTTTGATATAAATCATAAAAGCAGGAAATCTTCAGATTTGGAAACTGAAAAGAGCATTTCTGAGATTTCTGCAAAAAAGGTAGATTTGTTTCTAAGTTATTGTTATTTGCAGAACATTGTGAAAAATGTCCCTCAAAGTTCAAGTATATTCTTCAGCATCCAAATGTATTAACTTTAATAAGATGTGTCTGTTTTCTGTGTGTGATCTCCAGGCCCGAGCGAAGCAGCTTTATAACGCCGGCTATAAGACGCTGACTCACCTCGCCAACGCTGACCCGGCAGTCCTCAGCAACACCTTAGAAAACCTGCACCGAAAGCAGGCCAATCAGATCGTGGCGTCCGCTAAGGTGAGAGTTTACCTGTCGGCAGTACCTCCAGCTGCTCTGGAAGAACACAACATGAAAGTGTTGATATTAATGTTTCTAAAACGCTGTAGCGGACTCATTTCTTAAGTTAGAGTGAACATTCTGAAATCATTTGAACCTAGAAGAGCAACCAGAGCTATTGGTCTCTCTGACGTCTCCATATCTTGTCGGGAAGTCGCCTAAAAGACGTTTAAAAGTTTGGCTCTTTTCTGAGAGCTCAAATCTTCAGATCCAAAATGTTGTCTTGCGTCTCGACGTTGCATAACCAGGGTTCGTCATTCAGAAATGGAAAGCTAAATATATGCATGTACAAATGAGACAGTGGGTTACACTGGTTGTAAGTACGGAGAGAAAAATCATTAGATTTTTTTCCCCGAATTTCATTTTCTTTCTTAGAATTTGACATTTTCAAATTGACGAAAAACACAATAAAACTATAACAACGACTAAAGTAATCCCCTACATTCCTCAAATGTTACGATACAGTTAAGATCCTGAAATCCTATGAAACTAGAAGATCAGACGAATCCATTGACACCGAGCATCTCTCCATAGCTAGTCGGGAACTTCCCTAAAAGAGGCTCCAAAGTATTTGACCAATATGGACAACAAGCGTCCAAAGATGACATCGCCCTAAAACATCAGATATTCCTGTCAGCTGTGTTCCTCTCTCTCCGTGTTTCTAAAAAACAAAACACACTCCCCAAATCTCCAGAAACAAGCGGCCTGCTCACTCAACAGTTAATAACACTCTATCTCTACATCGCCTCGTTCACACATCAAATCAACAACACAGGTACAACCACAGATTCCACGTCTCCTTCAGATGAGATGTAAAATGCTCTTAGGTTTTACACCTCATAAGAAAGGTATTTATTAGAGTTTATGTCCGACAGACTCTCAGATCGTTTTCTGAAATGCTAAATGCTCCTAAAAGTTAATTATTTACACTGTTCCATTTATTTAGCGTTGTTTACGCACTCTTTGACTGCGTGTCTCTGTTGCTCCTACACTAGTCATTTTCAAACACTTTGAGAAACACTTTGAATTTATTATTTAGTTATTTCAAATGTGAAATGTTACCAATATACTGACGGACCACTAGGGGTCGCTCACGGACCACACTTTGAGAACACTGCTCTAGCTGTTTCAGAAATGCCTTAAAAACGTTTGGCTTATTTTCTGAGAGCTCAAATCTTCAGATACAGACCGTAAGAAAGCAGAAGATCAGACGAGTCCATTTACACCGAGACTGTCTCATAGATTGTCAGGAACTTAAGCTTATTTGGTGGTGAAGGATTAGTAAAGGAGTTCCACAGAGAGGCGGAGTCCCTCCCTTTCAGGTGGAGCTCCATTGGGACCTTATTTCGGAAAAATCCTGTATTGAAGTCAATGGAGAGAGAAAGATTATCTTTCCATCCTGTTTGAATTGTGCCATGAATTACACATATGATGTTTGTCAATCATAAAAGATAACTTCCATGTCAAAAAAGTCCCGCGTGCTGGCTCTCACGGAACCCACTAACTCCCCTTGTGTGTATGTACAGCTCTCAACATGCCCAGACTTGGAGTGATTTTCACCTCTTTCAATACTTTCCGCCTCGTTCTGAAAGAAAGAAGTGAAATGTTCCAACCATACTTGCCAACCTTGAGACCTCAGAAATCGGGAGCATTTCAAAACCACCGCGGGGGGTGCTAGTGGATCACCGGAGCTGTTAGATTAACATTAACATGCTTATTGTCGTTCTAAGTGCACTGCCTTGCGGCCTGTAGCACCTTCCTCTTGATGGAGCATGTGTGTGGGCTGGAAAGGAGGGAGCAGAGGGTCGAGTTGTCGATTCTTGTTCTGTTTTCTGTAACTATCTTCCTCACCCTGACTTTCAGTTGCTCGCGCTGCTAAAGAGACGCGCTACCATGGAAACCAAACAATGGTGTAGCTGTATTAAAGTCCGAGAGGAAACAGTCGTGAGTAAATCTGATTTTGGCAGAAATCGGGAGAAATGTGACCCCGGGAGGAAACCGGGGGAGGGCGATGAAATCGGGAGTCTCCCGTGAAAATCGGGAGGGTTGGCAAGTATGGTTCCAACGTGACGGCCGTCTTGGTGTGTGGTGCGAGACGGGAGATGTAGTTCATTGAGCGTTTCACACAAACAAAAGTGTTACTTCACAGTTTTACGACACTTTTATTTATTTTTTGACTTTCAAAATGATCTTTTAAATTGACAAACATCATGTGTGTAACTCGTGGCACAATTCAAACGGGATCGAAAGATAATCTTTCTCTCTCCATTGACTTCAATACATGATTTTTCTGAAATGAGGTCCCATGGAGGTCCACCGGAAGGGGAGGGGCTTCGCCACTCTATCAGGAGAGACTTCGACCTGGTTTGGTGCGATGAACATATTATTAATGTATTGTTGTATGCAAAGGGTAAGACTAAAGAATACACTTTTGCGATTAGCCCCATCGTGCTGTGGTGAGGATCCGGAGTGATGGAGGGGGGCTGGAGTGAGGGGGGGGGGCTTCGGGGCTTTACCTGGGCCCTGGAGGCGATGACCTGCAGGTGAAAGGGGTGGAGGAGGAGGGCTGCGTCGCTCCACCTGAATTTGAAGCTGACAGGGGAGAAGAGAGCAGATGTCAAAGTGTGCCGGTGCTCTGTGATTGGCTTGTGGGAGATGGGGCGAGTCTGATTGGTTTAGCTTGGGGAGGGATACGCCCTTCAGTGAGTGAGAGAGAACTTGTGAATGCGAGGAGAGACTTCCCGTCTTCCTGAAAGAGCTGAGCTTTTTATTGTTAAATAATAATACTGATGTGTTCCAGATGCTTCTGAGTGAGAAGGCGGCCGCTCTGCAGGAGGAGGTGGACGACCTGCTGACGCTGCCCAAAGACCTGCCCTCTGCTCCTCTCAGAGCACTCTGATTCATCCTCTGCTCGTTAGGATGTGTGAAAGCAGAAACACTGTAAAGTATATTTAAAATAAAAGCGGCTGGACCTTACTGTTGGATTTAATGTCTTTATTTCTAAGAGGTGGCGGGGAACAAGGGAAATCCATCAGAGCAATTCAACTGAGGATCTTCTGTGGAAAATATTGAGGTGTTTGTTTATTTATTCAACCTTTAATAGCCAGTAATTTCTTGATTCTGATATTTCTCATAATTCTTATTTAATTCTTTATTGTGATTTTTAATATCACAATAAAGCCTTTTTTTAAAAATCAGAATTACAAGAGAGAAATCATAAAACCTAACTTCAAGAAACAGAACTGAGTTTCCTTGTTGGACTAATAAAGTTAGACTTTTGATCTCATCATTTGAACTTCTTTATCAATACTTTCAATTTCACTTTGTCTCAACATCCTCAATCTTTACTGGAAATGAGCTTCTATAACACCAGAAACGTCCAATAGATGACCAGTATTGCCTAATTAGAGGCCGAGGTGGGCGGGTCCACGAGTTTTAGCCAATCACAAATCGAGTAGAGCGGGCAGGATGTATCAGCCAATGAGACACCGAGGGGGCGGGGCCTGCCATCACAATAGAACACTGTGAGTAAACAGAGGAAGTGAGTCTGTCAGTTAGTTGCAGCATGGAGTCCGTTCAGCTGCTGGTTCTGGTTCTGATGTGGAACCTGTCCTCCGGATCTGTCCTTCAGAACCAAACAAAGACCCGGTTCTCCCCCCTCTTACCACCGACCCAGACCCGGTTCTCCCCCCCGGTTCTGCCGGTTCTGCTGCATGTCTCCTCGGTGTTTCGGCGGGTGGAGCGGCGCTTCCTGTCCGTCACCATCGACTCCAGCCTGGCTTCAGAGGAGAAGTTCATGTCGCTGCTGGGGTGTGTTCTGCTCCAACTTACACACACACACACACACACACATTTAAATCTGTCTTGATGTACATTATTTAATTGAAAATAAAAACCTGTGAATGTGACCTGCTGCTGCACATGAATACACCTGAAGAGGGTCAGGGTCAATGAGCTGTGATTCATCTGGAATCAGAACTAAATACTGCTCGGACTGGATTAGTTTTTTGTTTTTTAAGGTGCTTAATCTTCAGGTTGGTTTCTCATCTAGTGTCGCAGGTCTATATTCTCATCACATGTCACTTGTTAGACGCTTTTATCCAAAGCAAACACTGTGGCCAATCCCCACAGGGACACAACGACATGCTGACTGCAGCTGGGTTTGAACCTGAGACCCCCTGATCCCGACACCAACACACAACCCACTGCGCCACACGTTTCCCTTTATAGTTTATTATAGTTGTGCATATCTGTGATTGTATTTAAACTATATTTAGCCTTTTGCTTTAGTGACATTTTGTTAGTCGTTTTTGCAAATCAAACTCATAAATGTGAATATAACCTTAAACTACATGAAGCTGTGTTTCTGTGAAGAGCTTTAAATGCCTTCAGGTCTTTCCACTGTGTTGCATCCAATTGAAGTTGTGTTGATTTATTTAGTTGTGGTTGTATTGAAACTATTTTGGTCATTTTAGCTTTTTGTCATTTACTCGTAGTTGTATTGCACATCTTTGTTATTGTTTTAAAACTATTTGAAAAGGTTTTGCATCAATCTGGATCCTCTATTCTTAGCAGCGATTCCTGACCGTTTGGTGTTAGATGGTCAGCTTGTCACTGAGACTGTTGCTTCCATCTTTTGTGATGATTTTCTTGCGTACTTTGAGTGGTGAGCGTCTCTGTGTTCGCTTCTCCTCAGTCATTCTCAATAGTAATAATACATCCTGCCTCTCCTCTGGGTTGCTTTGCTCCCATTGGTTCATTAACTCTCGTTGTCCTCTCCAGCTCTCCAAAGGTCCGGACTCTGGCTAAAGCTCTGAGTCCAGCGTTCCTCCGGTTCGGGGGAACGAGACAAGACTTCATGGAGTTCAGCCCGATCCGCCGGGACGCTTCTTCCTCTGCAGGTACGCTCAGGAGAACAGCATGAATGCACTTTATCGCACCTTTCATGCTTCACGCACCCAAAGTGCTTTACACAGAGTTTGAGAAAGAAAATCACAATAACAAATGAGGAACGTAATTAAGATATGTAAAAACAATGAAACATGAACAGTGATACTACTCAAAATGATAAGCCAAATGAAAAAGATAGGTCTTATTTACTCTTAGAACGATCCCATAATATATAATGGTATTTTAATTACGGCTACTCTTTAAAATGTGCTATTAATCAGAAACCACAGGTCTTCAGAAAGAATACACAAACGTTTGAGTTAAGATTTCATTCCACGTCTATCTTATTTGAATTGTTCTATGCAGATGATACGCCGTTCTACGTTCCTCTCTCTTCTGGGGATGTGAGTTATTTAAAAGAGCCAGTTAACTGCATTTATATTATTAAAACCCATTTATCTCAGGACTGAACTCAAAGGAGGAGAAATCGATTCATCCAAATCTCTTGTTTTACACAAACTTTCTCGAGTAAAGTGATCCATTAGTTGATGGCGCAGTTTGCCAGGTATTCTTCCTGCTCGTGAATGATCCATAACATGTCCCTTTTTACTCAGTGGTAGAAAAGGGGTTACTCGGGGAAAGCTCAGGATCCACAGATTTAGGGGATGTCCAAGTTATTTTATCAGTAGAATAAACATATAGACCTTCAGGCTCGTCTTGTTCACGTAAATAAATACATTTTCTGTGTAAAAACAGGCGCTGGGAATGGATACATATTTCTCTTTTTAAATAGAGACCCAGCTTGGCCACTTTGCCTAAGGTGACGTCACGTTGTTTCTCGGTTGTTAGTTGGACATACAAAACTCTCAAATGCCACTAAAAGTAAATACATATATATTGTTTTTAAATCCAGTTTCATATCATTTCCCAACACATGTCCGTCCTGCAGTCTGTCCCGACCTGCAGTCTGCCCCGACCTGCAGTCTGCCCCGACCTGCAGTCTGCCCCGTCCTGCAGTCTGCCCCGACCTGCAGTCTGCCCCGACCTGCAGTCTGCCCCGACCTGCAGTCTGCCCCGTCCTGCAGTCTGCCCCGTCCTGCAGTCTGCCCCGTCCTGCAGTCTGCCCCGTACCTGCGTCTGCCCGACCTGCAGTCTGCCCCGTCCTGCAGTCTGTCCCGTCCTGCAGTCTGCCCCGTCCTGCAGTCTGTCCCGTCCTGCAGTCTGTCCCGACCTGCAGTCTGTCCCGTCCTGCAGTCTGCCCCGACCTGCAGTCTGTCCCGTCCTGCAGTCTGCCCCGACCTGCAGTCTGTCCCGTCCTGCAGTCTGCCCCGACCTGCAGTCTGCCCCGACCTGCAGTCTGTCCCGTCCTGCAGTCTGTCCCGACCTGCAGTCTGTCCCGTCCTGCAGTCTGTCCCGTCCTGCAGTCTGTCCCGTCCTGCAGTCTGTCCCGTCCTGCAGTCTGTCCCGTCCTGCAGTCTGTCCCGTCCTGCAGTCTGCCCCGTCCTGCAGTCTGTCCCGACCTGCAGTCTGCCCCGTCCTGCAGTCTGCCGACCTGCAGTCTGTCCCGTCCTGCAGTCTGCCCGTCCTGCAGTCTGTCCCGTCCTGCAGTCTGTCCCGTCCTGCAGTCTGCCCCGTCCTGCAGTCTGTCCCGACCCTCAGGGCACCAGGAGGTTTCTGCACTGAGGTTAAGAATAGTGAAATATACAAAATAAATAACTTTAATTTCCTTTTCTCTGTGTGTCTAGAGAAGTCCTGCTCTGCCCGGCTGCTGCCCTCCTGGCTGGAGCAGCGTCTGAAGAAGGAGTGGAGCCGACAACAAATCCTCCTGAAGAGGGAAGATCTGCAAAGGAAGTACAAGAGGGTCAAGTTCACAGGTACATCACTCACTATCTTATCTCTTATCTTCAGAGTGATTATTTCAGAGTGATTTCTTCTCCTCTCAGAGTACACGGTGGACCTGCTGCACTCCTTCTCTAACTGCTCCGGTCTGGATCTGATCTTCGGGCTGAACGCTCTCCTCAGAACCTCAGAGAACATCTGGAACGGCAGCAACGCTCGATCTCTGCTGCAGTACTGCGAGTCCAGAGGGTACCAGATGGACTGGGAGCTGGGCAACGGTACGCTGAGCTGTCAGTGGTTAACTGTCAGTGGTTAGCTGTCAGTGGTTAGCTGTCAGTTGTTAACTGTCAGTGGTTAGCTCTCAGTGGTTAGCTGTCAGTGGTTAATTTATCTGTCAGTGGTTAACTGTCAGTGGTTAGCTGTCAGTGGTTAACTGTCAGTGGTTAGCTGTCAGTTAGCTGTCAGTGGTTAACTGTCAGTGGTTAGCTGTCAGTGGTTAGCTGTCAGTTGTTAACTGTCAGTGGTTAGCTGTCAGTGGTTAGCTGTCAGTGGTTAGCTGTCAGTTGTTAACTGTCAGTGGTTAGCTCTCAGTGGTTAGCTGTCAGTGGTTAATTTATCTGTCAGTGGTTAACTGTCAGTGGTTAGCTGTCAGTGGTTAACTGTCAGTGGTTAGCTGTCAGTTAGCTGTCAGTGGTTAGCTGTCAGTTGTTAGCTGTCAGTGGTTAGCTGTCAGTTAGCTGTCAGTGGTTAGCTGTCAGTGGTTAACTGTCAGTGGTTAGCTGTCAGTGGTTAACTGTCAGTGGTTAGCTGTCAGTTAGCTGTCAGTGGTTAGCTGTCAGTTGTTAACTGTCAGTGGTTAGCTGTCAGTGGTTAGCTGTCAGTTAGCTGTCAGTGGTTAGCTGTCAGTTAGCTGTCAGTGGTTAGCTGTCAGTTAGCTGTCAGTGGTTAGCTGTCAGTTAGCTGTCAGTGGTTAGCTGTCAGTTGTTAGCTGTCAGTGGTTAGCTGTCAGTTAGCTGTCAGTTAGCTGTCAGTGGTTAACTGTCAGTGGTTAGCTGTCAGTGGTTAACTGTCAGTGGTTAGCTGTCAGTTAGCTGTCAGTGGTTAACTGTCAGTGGTTAGCTGTCAGTTAGCTGTCAGTGGTAGCGTCAGTTAGCTGTCTAGGGTTAGCTGTCAGTGGTTAACTGTCAGTGGTTAACTGTCAGTGGTTAGCTGTCAGTGGTTAGCTGTCAGTGGTTAGCTGTCAGTGGTTAGCTGTCAGTGGTTAGCTGTCAGTTAGCTGTCAGTGGTTAGCTGTCAGTTAGCTGTCAGTGGTTAACTGTCAGTGGTTAGCTGTCAGTGGTTAGCTGTAAGTGGTTAGCTGTCAGTTGTTAACTGTCAGTGGTTAGCTGTCAGTGGTTAGCTGTCAGTGGTTAATTTATCTGTCAGTGGTTAACTGTCAGTGGTTAGCTGTCAGTTAGCTGTCAGTTAGCTGTCAGTGGTTAACTGTCAGTGGTTAGCTGTCAGTTAGCTGTCAGTGGTTAACTGTCAGTTAGCTGTCAGTGGTTAGCTGTCAGTTAGCTGTCAGTGGTTAGCTGTCAGTGGTTAACTGTCAGTGGTTAGCTGTCAGTAGTTAGCTGTCAGTGGTTAACTGTCAGTGGTTAGCTGTCAGTTAGCTGTCAGTGGTTAACTGTCAGTGGTTAGCTGTCAGTTAGCTGTCAGTGGTTAACTGTCAGTGGTTAGCTGTCAGTAGTTAGCTGTCAGTTAGCTGTCAGTGGTTAGCTGTCAGTGGTTAGCTGTCAGTTAGCTGTCAGTGGTTAATTGAGCTGTCAGTGGTTAGCTGTCAGTTGTTAACTGTTAGCTGTCAGTGGTTAATTTAGCTGTCAGTGGTTAACTGTCAGTGGTTAGCTGTCAGTTAGCTGTCAGTGGTTAATTTAGCTGTCAGTGGTTAGCTGTCAGTGGTTAATGTAGCTGTCAGTGGTTAGCTGTCAGTGGTTAGCTGTCAGTTAGCTGTCAGTGGTTAACTGTCAGTGGTTAGCTGTCAGTGGTTAATTTAGCTGTCAGTGGTTAGCTGTCAGTTAGCTGTCAGTTGTTAGCTGTCAGTTGTTAGCAGAGGGTACCAGATGGACTGGGAGGTGGGCAATGGTACGCTGACTTTCATAGACTGGGGGGTCACCAGAACTTAAACTGAGACTTCCTAGTATCTCAGTTTCCATAGTGACGGGTACCCAGGGCTCGAGACTAATGGCTCCCGTAGGGACCGTAGAAGATCAGTTCCTGAGGCAGTAAACTCTCTATCCACGTGTTCAGGAGACGCACCATGTTTATCCTCATGATGCTGCGGAGATTAGGAGGAAAGCTAATGTTAGCTGTTAGTGGAGTGGAGAGTCTGAAAACCCACCTGTTTGGCTTGTACCTCGGCCATTACAAAAAAGTAGCACTTGAGCATTAAACTGATGCAGCAGCACTTGTCTGGCTTATTGTGAATATCTGCACTGTTCTTGTCGTCCTGAGTTTGAATCTTTATGGTTTATTGCACTTACTGTAAGTCGCTTTTGAAAAAAGTGTCAGCTAAATGTATTGTTAGTTGTGAGCAGCTAGCTGGTTACTGTTGGCTTTTTGTTTTTGGTGTGAGCTAATGACCGATAGATGTTGGTAATCCTTTGCTGTTAGTTGTTAATTGTCAGTTGCTAGCTGTTAGCTGATAGTTGTTAGCTGTTAACTGTCAGTTGCTAGCTGTTAGCTGATAGCTGTTAACTGTTAGCTGTTAACTGTCAGTTGCTAGCTGTTAGCTGATAGCTGTTAACTGTTAGCTGTTAACTGTCAGTTGCTAGCTGTTAGCTGATAGTTGTTAGCTGTTAACTGTCAGCTGTTAACAGTTAGCTGTTATTAGCTGTTAGCTGATAACTGTTTACTGTTAGATGTTAACAGTAGTCTTAAGAGTTTAAATGTAGTTGTTGTTTAGAAACTTTACACTGAGGTTAATGTTAAGAGTTTCTCTTTTCTCCCTGTGAATTGTACTTTATTGATTTCACTCAGAGCCTTGTGGGCCTTCATGTTGTCGGTGCTTTAACCTCAGTGTTCATTAAATGATTAATTCCTTCTGCTTCATGTCTGCACTTTAGTTCCAGTTATATTGAACTCTTGCGGTCTTTTATTTGAGTTTCACTTCCAGTTTTGAAGCCGTGGGAGAATTGAATGACTCTCAGACAAGAAGTGACTTGTTGTGGTTTTAACTTCCTGTTTTAACTTTTTGCCCTTTTACAAACCATCAAGGCTCATTATAACAGTCAACAATGTAACTTGGCGTTGAGACGGTGCAAAAATACAAGCGGGTCCTTTTCAATATAAATAAGTCCAATAATGGGAAAAGTTTCTCTGCGTTTTTGGAGCGCTTTTGCAAAAACGTTGAGTTCCTTCTTCCATCCGTTGATATGAGGTTTAGCTTTGAAATATTTACATTTATTTATTTTTTTACTTTGTTTTTTTTTACAATTTTTTATTTGGATCACATTTCAACTTCAGTGTACATATACATATGTAGTTAAATAGTTGTACAGAGTGGTCCGTCTTTCTTTCTTTTTCTTGACAAGACAACAACAATAAGCACACAATAACATGGGGTGTTTTCTTTACAATATAAAACATTGACAGGATAGATCCTTAAATAAAATATTCAAAGTTAGACAAAAGAAGGGCGTATCGGGGTAATATACACTTTCCATTTCTCCCAAATGTCCTCAAATCTATGTTCCTGGAGCCTCAAAGAGAAGGGTATTCTTTCCATTACAAAGATTTCCTAAATGATATCGTACCAATCATCTATAGATGGGCTGTTTGGTTTGAGCCAATTCTTTGTGATTGCTTTCCTGGCGGCTGCACTCAACATCCCAAACAAGTATTTTGTTTTAATATTTGTGGATGTTGAGTGCAGGAAACCAAAGAGGAGTTCATCCCAATTCAAATAAATGTTGTTTCCAAATATGATGACAATTTCTTTATAAACCTTATGCCAAAAGGTATTTACTACTGGGCAATCCCAGAGCACGTGGTAATGGTTTGCTTCCTGGGAGCCACAATTTCTCCAGCAGCTGAAAGGACCAGCATGGTGAGACTGCTGAGCGGGCGCGATCAAAGATCTAGTGAGACTCTTCCAGGCGAACGCTCTCCATGAGGAGGAGCTTGTTATTCTCCATTGGAATCCACAATAGTTGGTCCAGATTTCCTCTGGAATACACCTGTTGGTTTCCCTTTCCCATTTTAGTTTTATGTATATGGTACTTGTTTTTTGAATCTCCTGGAGTCCCTTATATATTCTTGATATCACTTTGAGCCCTGAATCTGTACCATATGCACCAATAAATACTTTCAGTAAGTTGTTTTCGAACGCCCTCTGGTTCTCTAGCAGAGAACTGTTCATGGGGTGGCGTACCTGAAGGAATCTGAAAAAGTCACTGTTATTTAGCCCATGTTGTATTTTCAACGTTTGAAAATTGTTCAGTGTCCCCCGATTAAAAAAAGTACAGTAGGAAGAGAGGCCCCGATCAGCACATCCCTTATAACTTGCGTCTAGCTTACTCGGGGTAAAGTCGAGACCATGGGAGCACCATTTCAGGATCTTTATCTCTTCAAGCAAGCCACTCTTTGTTATAACCTTTAACCATGTTTTCAGAGTCAGATTGATCCACTTATTACCCGTTTCCATTAGGTTTTTAATGAGTCTTGTATCCCCTAATCGTGCCTGTATTGGAACTGCCCCGGACACCCTCTCTTCAATTTCTTTCCATCTTGCTTGGTAATCTGATTTACACCAACAGAACAAAATCCTCAGTTGGGCCGATGTATAATAGTCTCTTAAACAGGAGAGTGCAACACCTCCCTTGTTCTCAGCCAATTGAAGAGTTTGAAATCGTATTCTCGTTTTTTTCCCTGCCAAATGTAGCGCGAAATTAATTTGTCCCATTCCTTGAATTGTTTATCTGTTATTTCTATTGGAAGAGTTTGAAACAAATATAATGTCCTAGGCAAGACATTCATTTGAACTGATTCAATTCGTGATTCAAAACTTAATATTGGAATTAAATTCCATCTCTTTATGTCTTCCTTAATTTTTTTAATCAACAGATTAAAATTCAAGTCATACAATTTTGTGAGGTCTTTTGGGATGTTAACTCCTAGGTATTTGATGTGATCCAGATCCCAGTTTAATTGGATATTCGACTTTAGAATCTGGCTAGGCCTATAATTAAAACTTAATATTTGGGTATTTGAATATTCAATGTATAACCTGAGACGGAGCTAAAGTCATCTAGGAATGCTAATCATTTCAAAATTGAGCTCTCTGGGTTTGACAAGTGAATTAAAACGTCATCCGCAAATAATGACATTTTATGTTCTTGGCCTTGTATTTTTATGCCAGCAACATTATTTTCCTGACTAACCCCCTGGCTTAAAGCCTCAATAAATATTGCAAATAATAATGGACTTATTGGACAGCCTTGTCTGGTCCCTCTTTCCAGGCCGAATGATGCTGATATGTCCCCATTTATTTGTATTTTTGCCCTTGGGTCATTATAAAGTGCTTGAATGGTTCTAATAGACGATGGGTGAAATGTTCTATACAATAATTCCCAATTGACTCGATCGGAAGCCTTTTCCGCATCAAGACTCAATGATACTGCCTCCATTTTATTTGTAGTTATATGTTCGATCACATGTAAGGTTTGCCGGATGTTATCTTGGGTCTGCCTTTGCTGAATGAAACCTGTCTGGTCTAGACTTATTATCCGGGGGAGGATAAATATTTACATTTATGAATAAAATGTTCACTCAACAAACTCAAGTTGTCCTTCCGGTTTGAACTGGTTTTATGGGTTTCAGAGCCCAACAGCTATCAGAAGAAGGCGGGGGTGCGCGTGGACGGGTTTCAGCTGGGAAAGGACTTCGCCCATCTCAGAGAGATGATGTCACAGTCAAAACTTTATCGACACGCCGGGCTTTACGGTCCAGATGTTGGTCAGCCTCGAAATCACCGGACCGACATCCTGCAGGGGTGAGAGGCACGGTGGGGTTACTACAAATAATATATTAATAAAGCACACTCAAAATACAACCATTAAAAAAAAAACTGTTTATTTGGAAAGTCCACCTCGAAAGTATTTACAACATTTAAAAAGTGTATTAGTTGAGATTATACCATTAAAATATAAATAATTGAATTAAAACGAAAATAGCATTAAGTCAAATAAATGTTAAAAATCTGGATGAACCTGGAATTGAAAACATTCATCATTTGTACCTAGATATTTTTCTACTTCTGTTTCTTTTTATTAATGCATATTTATTTAAATGGTCATT